GTCAGAATGCACCACATTTGTATTTCAAAAGGTATCCCTGTCTCACTGAAATGGAAGAAAGGATTGTGTGAAGAGCACCATGTCTTACTTTCTTGCTGAAAGGAAGGGAGGTGGGTGCTTGGTGGAAGCAGAGAAGCAGAAAGAGGAGGAGTCGGTTGGGCGAGGAACCTGTGGCAAGACAAGCAGAGAGATCAGCCGCACAGAAGAGAGGCTGGGAAACATCTGGCATCACCCAGGAGCAGAGCAAGCCACTATGTCTCAGCCGAAGGGCATGCCACTGTGTGCCAGCCTGCGGATGAAGCACCAGGCAAGAGAGGTGTGAGAGTGACAGCACTGCTGACCACAGCTTGGAGCCTTAGAAGCAGGTAGGTTGCTACCTGCAATAGCATCTTCTTCCTGGGATACAAAATAGAAGGAGGCATTTTGCTGCCTGGTTTGCTAAAAGGATAGCAATGGAGAGTGGTTAGCTGAGGGCTTCTTCTTGTTGTTGTTGCTGTTGTTGTGTGCCTTAGTTTGTTGTGTGCCTCAGTTGTCATGCAACTAATTGTAAAATCTTCCCCAAAGTCATTTTCGACTTATAGGAGCTGTTTGTTGTTTGTTGCCATGTGCCTTCAAGTCATTTCCAGCTTATGGAGACCCTAAGATGAACCGATCATGGGGTTTTAGTGGCAAGATTTGTTCAGAGGGAGGTTTGCCATTGCCATCCTCTGAGGCTGAGAGAGTGTGACTTGCCCAAAGTCACCCAGTGGGTTTACATGGGTACCCTGATAGAAATTGATGGTGAATACTGATCACGACAGCTGCCGCATGTTCGAAATCTCCTTGCAGGGTGTGTAGCTAGAGAGAGAGAGAGAGAGAGATGGAAAGTGTATAGAGATTCTCAGACTGTCGGCTCCTCCACTTAAAAATGTGTCACGCTTCTACCAAAGTGGACCAAAGAATTGTATGAACAGTGGCGACCCTAAGGTGAACCTATCAAAGGCTTTCTTGGCAAGTTTGTTCAGAGGGTCTTTTTTTCCATTGCCATCCTCTGAGGCTGAGAGAGTGTGACTTGCCGAAGGTCACCTAGTGGGTTTCATGGCTGAGCGGGGATTCGAATCCTGGTCTCCAGAGTTGTAGTCCAGTGCTCAGTCCACCACATCCATTTGGCTGGCTCCATTTGGAGAAGGTGACATTTGGGCAGCCCACCTCTTTGAAGGGACAATTCACCAGGAGAACATCTGGTGTGACATCTGTACTGGGTCCTCAGCCTCATCCAGTGAGAGTTAGCTGTGCTAGCTACCAGACAAAAATGCATTGCTTCGAATAACCAATTCAAAGCGTTCTCTCGTTCAGGTATCATCTTATGCTCTTGGTGCTAAAGTTCTCGTTGCTCTTTCTTTTGCATCTCCAAACACATATAAAGAGAGATTGCTTTAACCTGATCATATCCTCAATTATCATAACCCATAAAAATGCTAAAACAGCTTAAATCTACTCAGGCAGAAATGAATGCATGAAAAGAGTGAGACTGGGGCTAAAGCCACAGGGATGGTATTAAATTTTAAAATGGATGGTCTGCAGGGCCACCTCCCTATGAATAATTTCCATCGCTTTCCCTTGCTTTGGGAGGAAAAACAAACTATTTCTGCACAGTATTTCCTCCTTTCTTTGCACATTCAGAAGTCTTCCGGGGAATTATTCTCTGCAGAAATATAGGTGGGTTTCCTGTGCAGAAGGCACTGTTTCCCCTGTGGAAAAGCCATATGTATTTCTGCAAAGAATATTTCTCCAGAATACTTGGGAATGCATGCTTACCAGGAGAAAATTGTACAAAAAGTCATGCTGCTCTGCTGTTATTCTCAGAAGAGTTTCTCAAGGTTATGTTGAGAAACATAACCTCCTGCCAGTCCTGAGACTCCTGTTTGCTCAAGGGTTAGCATTTGGTCACAGAGAGTGGAAAAGTTCCTTCTGTGGACCACAGTTCCCAGAATCCCCTAGCTCCTGTATGACCACTGGAGATGTAGTCCACAAACAAGTAAATTTCTCAGTGTTGGCTTGGTTGTCCCTTTTTTTATTTTGAAAATGGGAGTTGCTGTACATGTTTTTGTAGGGCACAGAGGCTGGATCCACACTGCATAAATAATCCAGTTTGACGCCGCTTTAACCGCCTTGGCTCAAGGCTATGGAATTCCATAGCCTTGAGCAAGGGCGGTTAAAGCAGTGTTGAACTGGATTATTTATGCAGTGCGGATCCAATCTGAGTTGCAAAAATGGCATGCCTTCGAAAAGCTGATTTGCACAGTGCCAAGGAACAGGCTTACTATGGAAGCCAGAGCCGGTATCTAACATATTTACTATTTCTCCTTATAACACAAGAAAGAGTCTCTTTCCGTATATCAAAGCCTAAAGTTTCAATGTCTCCTTTTTGTTGCTTTATAGTCTGCAAAAGGTTTAGATAAGTCTCCATTGCATTTTCTTTTATTAAATTAGATTTGGAAGAACTGACTGAGCTAGAATCTTGACAAGATATATGACAGCCGCCGCAAAAGTGGTATATGCATATTGGGAAAATGATAAGATTTCAAGTATTATGGATTGGAGAAACAAATGGATTTGGCAGAATTAGACAAATTGGCAAAAGGTTCTTTAAAAAAAAAAGGCAACACCCAGTAAAATTGTTGGTGTAATGGGCAGTTTTTCCTTATTAATATTTCCTAATTTTCTAAGGTTAAAATTGCTCTAAGGACATCCTAGCTGTTTTGTTACCTTTTGGGGGAGGTTAATTTTTTTAAAGGAAAAATAATGGAAAAGAACCCTTAGCATTTACTAATGGAGGGAGGTGGTAAAGAAAGCAGAGAGAGAGAGATTAATTGCATTGAATTACTTTGTTTGGGAAAGATTTTTACAATTAGTTACATAATAAATTCCTTTCCACATCATGCCAGAACCCATCTTTTATTAGGAAGGGAGAAGCTGACTTGAAGGAACAGAAAACTACAAGATCTGTAGAAAGGCAGCCGAACATTTAAGCCAGCCTCTCTCAACAAGTTATTTTTTCCCCTTCCCTAAAAACGCACCTAGTGCAGAAAGCTCCTGCTTCTTTCTTTCCGTGAGTCTCAAAGGTGTTACAAGATCTCTTTACATACTGATTTTACAGACTAACATGACTATATCTTTGAATTCAGCCTCAGTTTACTCATCTCGGTTTTTAGGGAGCGTTCCGGCTTGATCTGTTCTAGAACCCGTTTGTTTGTTTTCTTGGCCATCCAGAGTATCCTCAGCCCTCTTCTCCAGAACCACATTATCTCAAATGAGTTGATTTTCTTCTTATCCGCTTTTTTCATTGTTCAGCTCTCACATCCGTACATACACAGTGGCTCGGACTATCCTTACTTGAATGTTCAGAGTTATGTCTTTACACTTTAGGATCTTGTCTAGTTCTTTCATGTTGTTGTTGTTAGCGGCCCTTGAGTCCACCTTGACACATGGAGACCCTGTGGATGAGAGATCTCCAAGGCCCTCTACTACTCTGCTTAGATCTTGTAGATTATGGCCCATGATCTCTTTGACCCACCTGGTGTGGGGTCTTCCTTCCTTTTTACCACCTTCCACCTTTCCTAGTGTTATTCTCTTTTCCAATAAGTCGTGGCTTCTCATGTTGTGGCCAAAGTATGACAACCTCAACTTTATCATCTTGGCTCCCAGAGAGATTTCAGGCTTGATCTGTTCAAGGACCCATTTTCCTTTTGGGTCATCCATGGTATCCTCAGCTCTTTTCTCCAGCACCACATCTCAAATGGATTGCTTTTCTTTCATAGCCGTGTCTTATCCCACGGATATTTTCACACAAAAGAAAGGGTTAGACCATCATGCAACTTCTATATTATTGTTTTCTTATTGTATTCTTTTATTTTTATGCTTGTAACCCACCTTGATTCCCTTTGGAAACAGGTGGGCTAGAAATCATCATCATCATCATCATCATCATCATCATCATCATGGCCAATGAAATGATTGGGCATGAACGATAGATGGAACTTAATGCAAGAATGCTGCTATCTAAGCCACCTGTAAATAAACATCACTCATTAAAAGTCTAGTCAAAAGTATAACAGTGTCTTCAGGCTGGGCTCCAGACATTTCTGATCACAGTCCAGAAGAACGAGATTCTTTGTCCTGAATTCCATTTTTAAAATGCTGGCCAAAACTCCACAGGATAACAAATCTGATTGCTTGGTCTTTCATAACAGCGAGCAGCAATGCCAAGGAGAAAATGCTACAGAAGGGTGCCACTGAAAGAGCAACGAAGTCAACTGGAGTTGTAAGGTTTTAGAGCACAGTACATTCTTCTGAGAAGACTGAATGCAGCAGCGGCTGGCATTCACGGATCTCCATTTTGCATATTCTCCTTACAGAAAGGGCATAGCTATGGCAAAATGCGGGCACTGCCCTACCAAATATGAATCCTGCCCACTGAGGGAATTTTCCTCCACTCCTCAAATTTCAAGTATTGCAGTACAGGCATACACCAGTTAACAAAGCTCCTGACAAAGAAGCTTCTTTTTTTTAAAATGTCTTTTTTTATTTAACTCTAGTGTTGTAGATCTAGAGAGTTCAGAGAATTCAAAGTCCCTTTCCAAACTTTGTACTTTGTAGAATGGAACCATGACCACTGAGATGGCATCAATCTACCTGATATGATTGGCCCCTACTTCATGGCTAATGGTAGACTTGAACCCGTGTCCCTCAGATTGGGAAAGCTTGCCTCTTTCTAAAACCAATATTTTAGCTTTGGGCATCAATGGAAATGGATGAGTGTAACTCTTCCCTCCCTTCCTCTTTACAAAACATATTTGTCTTTGTTGTTGTGTGCCTTCAAGTCCTTTCCGACTTATGGCAACCCTAAAGTGACCCTACCATACGGTTTTCTTGGCAAGTTTCTTCAAAGGGGGTTTGCCATTGCCATCCTCTGAAACTGAGAGAGTGTGACTTACCCAAGGTCACCCAGTGGGTTTAAATGGCTGAGCCGGGACTCGAACCCTGTCCTTCAGAGTCATTGTCCAACATTCAAACCAATACACCACGCTGGCTCTCTATGTGTTTTTTGAGTAGAACAGAATCCAAAGGCAGTTGAAGAGATGGATGAATATTCTGAGAACATCTATTTTTCAAGTGCAATAAAAGTCGATTTTCATGCCAAGTGTGTTGATTTATCCTGAAATCTCATTGCCAGAGAGGGACCGGCTCTGTTTACCTGTAATAATGCATCATTTTTGCCAGGGCATCCGAGAGCAGTCTTGAAGGCACAGCCACTAGAGATGGAGGAACAAATATCAGGCTAGCTTGCCTGCCTCTTCCCTGCATAAATCAACACTGAGTATTTCTTAGATGTGGCCAAATATTTAGATTACAATCCCAGAATGCTTTGACTGATGTTGGCTAAGAAGGCAGTTTCAAATTTGGGATGCTTCAGTGCCGTTTTGCAAACCAATGCTTATAAGTTTCCATTTAGATACATACATATACACACATATACATGCATACATATGTAGCCCAAACCGTGTTATTAACTCAGCACCTCTTTGACTAGACTCCAAAGAAGTGTACTTCTAGTTCCAGCTACCCAAGGGAGTTTTTGCAAAATCGCTTTCTTATCTGTAGCCTTTTCACACAATTATAGCATTATGATTTTACTTTAACTGCCACGCCGACATGATACGAAATCCTGGTGTTGGTAGTTCCCTGGATGAGAAATCTAAATATCACTCCATAAAATCCAAGTCCCAGGATTTTAGAAGATGGAGCCATAGAAATTGAAGTGGGATCATAGTGCTTGAAGAGTGTAGTGCGAAAGGGCCCATGGTGTGATAGGGAGACAACTGATTTGTTAGCCAGAGAGGAAGGAATTTGAAAAGAAAAACCTCTGGATATGTCCTAGCCTCATTTTCTTGAAGGGGTTAGACGAAATTATTTATTTACTGGGTCACATCCTGACATGGCCATGCAGTATGTTGCTGAAATATTAAAAAGTGAGTCCTCCAAATGTATAGGATCCCAAAGTTGGAAGATACATTGGAGGCCGGCTAGAATGGTGCTTCTCAATTTTTGGGACCTCCACTTGTTTTGGACTTTAGCACCCAGGAATCCCAGCCAGCATGGCCGCAGGTGAAGGATTCTGGGAGATGAAGCCCAAAATATCTAGAGGATCAAATTTTGAGAACTACTGATCTAATCCAACCAACTGCTACTCAGTACAGACTCACTTATATGTCTTCATCCATACAAGGTGTTGGTTTTGACCTATAAAGCCCTAAATGGCTTGGG